ACCAGGGGGCACCCCGGGCTGGACCCCAAGGGCACACAGACATATGGTTTGGAGAAAACAAGGGTTCTTTAGTATTCATGCAGATTCTGTGCTGGACAAAAAGACTCTGTCCTTATCAAGTATTTTTTATTAAAGATTTTATTTATATCTTTTTAGAGCAGGGAAAGTGGGGGGAGGAAGAGAAACATCAGTATGTGAGAGAAACATTGATTGGTTGCCTCTTGCATGCCCCCAACCAGGAGCCTGCAACCCAGGCACTTGCCCTGACCAGGAATCAAATCAGTGACCTTTTGGTTTGTGGGGAGATGCTCAACCCATTGAGCCATACCAGTCAGGGCTTATAAAGCATTTTTTAGTGTAAAAAAAAAGGTATTTATTGGAAGCATTTTAGTTAATCTGAAGGTTCCCATAGACTAAAGCCTGAGAATGTAAGAATAGCTACTCTTATGCCAGAACTTAGTTTTGCTTTGTCCTGTTAATTTTCATTTCAGGTTTGTGTAGATACTGTATCCCCTCGTATTTAACACAAACATAAACGGATCTCACTGTAGAGAATGGCGTCTCTCCCAATTTTCCAGAGTTTTGCACTTTATCACCCCACATCTCTTCCTCTTCTCCTTTCCCTCCTCCCCCTCCCTTCCCTGTCTCTCAGATAAGAAACCACTGGTGACACTTTCTACCAGTTACGTCCCAGTCACTTAATGATCATATTTTGTAACTGAACTTCCTGTCTCCTCTGCTGCTTAAGTGGGTGGTGACGCGGGCATGTGAGGATCTGTCAGGCCATGGAGGCCACTCGCCCTTGTTGGCACCTTGCATGACCTCAAAACATCCATGTTGTGTGGGACTCTCTGTGCTTCCTGGACTCACATGTCTATTTCCTTCACCAAATCAGGGGAGTTTTGTTTCGTTAGTTTTCCAAATAAGTTTTCAATTTCTTGCTCTTCCTCTTCTCCTTCCAGTACCCATAGGATCTGAACACTGGTATGTTTGGAGATATCCCAGAGACTCCTTACTCTATCCTTGTTTTTTTGGTTTCATTTTTCTTCTTGCTGTTCTAATTGAATGTTCTTTTCTTCCACATGTTCCGAGTTATTGATTTGATTCTCTCCACTGTTGACTCTCTGTACATTTTTCGTTTTTTCCTACTTAGTTGAGAGATCTGCCTGGGTTGTTTTTATGCTGTTGAAGTACCCAATGAGTTTGTTGAGCACCCTGCTAACCAGTGTTTTGAACTCTGCATCTGACAGATTGCTTAACTCCATTTTGTTTAGTTCTATTTCTGGGGTTTTGTTCTGTTCTTTCTTCTGGGCCATGTTTCTTCGTCTGCCCATTTTGGCAGCCTCCCTGTGTTTGTTTCTCTGGATTAGGTAGAGCTACTTTGACTTCCTGTCTCAGTAGCCTGGCCTAGTGTAGAAAAGCGCACTGGTAAACTGTGGGCTCAGAAAGGGGACAATGGTCGCTGCCAGGCCTCTGGAATTTTGTCCAGGAGGGAGCTGTCCCCTGGCACTTGCCCTGATGCCACACAGTTCAGTTTTCCCGCTATGCTGTGGTGCCCTTCCAGCTGCTGTCCTGGTGCTGGAGCCCAGAGGGAGTGAGTCTGTGCAAGTCCTCAGTCAGTTAGGGGCTCTTTAATAGGAGACACCTGAGAATCCTGCGTTTTTTTCTGACTCCCCAACGCCCACTCATTTATACAGCCAGAAGTAATTGGGTCTTCTCTCCTTGCACTGGAACCCTGGGAAGGAATCCCTCTCTCCCGAGGTATCCCTCCCAATTTTTATCCACCACTCATGGGTGTGGGACCACTGGTTCCACATCTCCATGTCTCTGTGCATCTCCATGCCTGCATCCCTCCCACCCGCCTTGATGAATGTGTCTTCTCTAATTCCTTGGTTGTTCGATTTCCACACAGCTTGATTTTCTGGCAATTCTGGGTAATAGTTGTTTTGTCATTGAGTTGTAATTTTTGCTGTGGTTGTGGGAGGAGGTGAGCTGTGTTTACCTACACCACCATCTTGACTGGAAGTTCTAACCAGTTTTTAAAAGTACAACTCAGAGTTCCGCCAAGATGGAAGCACCTTGCTTCCGTGCACAACCAAATCTAAGAACAACTATTTTTAACAACAATAAACATAACCAAACCACACTGAAAATTGAAAATACAGAGTCCAAAAAAAAACCTGAAATGCTCAGCTAACCTGGTAAGAGGGGCAAAGCCAGCAGTGGAGCGGGTTGACTCAAAAAGATCCCTGACCTGGTGGTGCGCAAGCAGCCGAAGGCTTGGTTCGCGGGCTAGCTACAGGAGCACACAGGGAAGAGGCGCGGCTGGCTCTTTGTGGTAGGTCGCACATTTGCGTGCAGATAAACCAGTGAAGAGGCGAGCTTTGTGACTGCTCGGCGCAGGGCAGCAGTCTCCCACGATTCCACTTGGATAAACAGGCCAGGGCGAGTGGTGGGACAAACTGGGCTAGCGGAGAGGACAGCCATTGCTCCCTCTCTGACCCCGCCCCCACACGCAGCGTCACAAACCAGCGACCTGGGTGGCCCCGCCCTGGTAAAGAACTAAGGCTTCGCTCCTCTTACTTACCGGCGTGAACAGACCAAAAATGGCTGAAGAACAACTCAGAGCCCCGGAGCCGATAAATCTAAGCAATGAAGAAATAGCAAAACTTTCAGATGCACAGTTCAAAATACTGGTTATCAGGATCCTCAAAGAACTGGTTGATTTTAATCACAAATTAGAGAAACATATGAAATTTAAACTAATTGAAATGAATGGTAATGCAAAGGGAAACCAATAGTAATGGAAAGGAGACTGGGACTCAAATCAAAGGAGTATACCAGAAGGAAGGAAAAAATTACCAAACAGAAAAGAATGAAGAAACAAGAATTTAAAAAAATGAGGAGAGGCTTAGGAACCTCCAGGACATCTTTAAACATTCCAACGTTCGAATTATAGGGGTACCAGAAGGGGAAGAGTCACGAGTGAAAAGCTTACTTGAACAAATAATAAAAGAGAACTTCCCCATTCTGGCAGAGGAAATAGACTTCCAGGAAATCCAGGAAGCTCAGAGAGTCCCAAAGAAGTTGGACCCAAGAAGAAACACACCAAGGCACATCATCATTACATTAGCCAAGATTAAAATGAAGGAGAGAATCCTAGAAGCAGCCAGAGCTAAGGGGACTCTCACCTGCAAAGGAGTTCCCATCAGACTGTCAGCGGATTTCTCAAAAGAGACCTTCCAGGCAAGAAGGGGCTGGAAAGAGGTATTCCAAGTCATGAAATCCAAAGACCTACAACCAAGATTGCTCTATCCAGCAAAGTTTTCATTTAGAATGGAAGGACAGATAAAGTGCTTCTCAGATAAGACCAAATTCAAGGAGTTCATCATCACCAAGCCCTTATTATATGAAATGTTAAAGGGACTTATCTAAGAAAAAGAAGTTAAAGAAACATGAACAGTGAAAGGACAGCAAACTCACAGTTATCAACAACCACACCTAAAACAAAAGCAAATTAAGAGGACAGCTGGATCAGGAGTGAACCATAGAAATGAAGATCACGTGGAGGATTAGCAACAAAGGAGTGGGAGAAGGAGAAGGGGGGAGAAGGTAGAGAAAATAAGTAGCATAGACAGTAGATAGAAAATAGATAGGGGAGGGTAAGAATAGTAGGGGAAATACAGAATCTAAAGAATTTGAGACACGTGGTCATGAACTAAAGGGGGAAATGGTGGGGGAGGGGTGTGCAGGGTGGAGGGGAATGGGGGGAATAGAACAAATGTAATGGCATAATCAATAAAAAAGTTTTTAAAAAAGTACAACTCAGTGACCTTAATTACAGTCACATGTATGTTAGAAATCAACCTCCTATATTTTCTGTGATATATTTAATTGTGGAAGGTTTGTTATGAAAATGGAGAAATAGCAGTTTTTCATATGTGCTGCTGGGTGTCCCGGCCTCCGTGGCCCTGTGCTCCCAGCAAGAAAACAGCTCCATTTCCCTGAGAATATCCTGGACCAAACGGTAAAAATCACTCATTGTATTAGACCTTGGTCATTGAGTACACGTCTTCTCAGCGCCGGGTGGTGAACAGGAAGCGTGCGGAGGGCACTTCCACCACGTCTGCCATCCAGTGTGATTGTCACGCTGTGAGCTGGCCTGGCCGGGATTTCCAGGGAACGCTCTCGTTACAGGAAAGAAGGGCTGACAAACCATGGTGTTTAATCTTGGGTGTTTGGCAGACATTTTCTGGAAGGTTATCCAAGTCAGTCTGCACTTTAAGAACAACGACGGGCAGTATTTGTTGCCAGTGATAAAATGTGAGCTTTTAAGCAAACGTTAGACTTTTGGAAAAATTGTATTGAGCGGGACAGCGTTCCACTACTCAGAGGCTTGGCTGGTAAGACTGGTGATGGTTCAATAAATGTGGTTACTGTGTAATGAAGTGTGTTAACATTCAGAAGATCTCACCTGATTTGGACCTGATTTTTTCCAAACAACCGATCCATGACGTGCAGAACAATTCATTCAAAGTTCAAGACAGACCAATGTTTTTTTTAAATTTAATTATTGTTCAAGTACAGTTTTCTGTTTTGTTTTGTTTTTTTTTTTAAACTCATCCCAGCCCCCTCCCCCCAGACCAATGGGTTTTAACATAGCGGAGTTTGAATAGTTGGTTGGTATGGTTTCAGATCCCACATCCTAACTAATCCTGAAGAAACTACCACTTGCTGAGTTGGGGTGTAGTGCCTGAGACTCAGCCGCACGGTCTGAAGAGGCCATAAAACAAGAGCTAAAGTGACTGGAAGGCTCACTAAGTGAAGCAGCACAGGGCCCCATCCCTTGATTATATGTTCAATATATGTAATGGTTAGACTGCCGTCAGCCTGTAGATCCCGTGGTCTGGATTCTTCTGGCATAAGAGCCATAAGTGGATGTTCAGGACAGACTGAAAAAGACCTGAAACCAAGTCCTTAACAAAATGCTTGTCTTGTAGGTCACCATCCCACTGTTTTGTGACCCTTTGAAAAAGGCACAGTATGACAAAGATGAGGAAACAAGAACTCTTCTTCAGTGTGAGGCTGGTACTTCATTTCTAACTGTTATGCAGTTCCAGGACCCAGGAGCAACAGGAGTTGCGTTCCACTGAGCTGATTTGTGTTACCAACCTTCTTGCAGGCAAGATGCAGACAATGAAAGAATTTAAAGAGGTTGAGAAGGCCAAACTGCATTCCAGATGTCCAAGAATTTCTAATTCAAGGTGCTTTGTGACTTCAGATGAGTGGCTTAGACTCCCTATAAGTTACTTAGAGAGTGAATTTTGTAAAGGGAGCAGGTAATGGTTAATATTGTAGAAATGGGAGGACTTCCGCCAAGATGGAGGCGTAGGTAGAGATGCCGTGCTTTCTCACACAACCAAGTTTAGAGACAACTAAATATTAGCAACGGAAAACACAGGCAGAACACAGAAAATTGAACTTTTCAGAAGTCTGATAACAACAAATTCTTCATTATGACCAGTAAGGGGCAAAACCAGCAGCTGGCGGAGCGGGGTAGCACAGGAAAACTTGGTCAGACGGACTCAGGCGCTCGGAATCCAGGCGCAGGGTTGGACCTAGTGAGAGACCCAGCGACCACGGGGAAACAGCGAGGGAGCAGGGCTGCGGGTTGACTGTGGTCTCGCATTTGTGCACGCATAGACAAGCGAGGGAGTGGGTGATTGGACTGGGACCCAGTGGGTCCCCACGGTGAGCGGCAGCAGAGGGCGCCACCATTTCCCCCGCTCTGACCCCACCTCCACATACAGCGTCATAACCCAGCGACCTGAGTGGCCCGGCCCTCGAGAACCACCTAAGGCTCTGCTCCTCACCCAGCGGTACGAAACAGCAGAGGGGGCCGCCATTTCCCCACTCTGACCTCGCCCCACATACAGCGTCACAACCCAGTGACCTATGAGTCCAAGACTCCTCTCCTTATACTTAATGGGCGCGAACAGACCAAAAGTGGCTAAAGAAGATCTCAAAGCCCCAGAGCCTATAAATCTAAGCAATGAAGAAATAGCAAAACTTTTAGATGCACAGTTCAAAACACTGGTGACCAGGATGCTCACAGAACTGGTTGATTATAGCCACAAATTAGAGAAACATATGAAGGCGAAACTAATTGAAATGAATGGAATTGCACAGGAAACCAATAGCGATGAAAAGGAAACTGGGACTCAAATCAATGGAGTGGACCAGAAGAAAGCAAATAATGGCCAAACAGAAAAGAGTCAAGAAGCAAGAATTAAAAAAATGAGGAGAGACTTAGGAACCTCCAGGTCATCTTTAAACGCTCCAACATCCGAATTATAGGGGTACCAGAAGGGGGAAAGGAACAGCCACCAGTGGAAAACTTATTTGAACAAATAATAAAGGAGAACTTCCCCAATCTGGCAAAGGAAATAGACTTCCAGGAAATCCAGGAAGCTCAGAGAGTCCCAAAGAAGTTGGACCCAAGAAGAAACACTCCAAGGCACATCATAATTACATTAGCCAAGATTCAAATGGAGAGAATCCTAGAAGCAGCCAGAGCTAAGGGGACAGTCACCTACAAAGGAGTCCCCATCAGACTGTCAGCTGATTTCTCAAAAGAGACCTTCCAGGCAAGAAGGGGCTGGAAAGAGGTATTCCAAGTCATGAAATCCAAAGACCTACAACCAAGATTGCTCTATCCAGCAAAACTTTCATTTAGAATGGAAGGACAGATCAAGTGCTTCTCAGATAAGATCAAATTCAAGGAGTTCATCATCACCAAGCTCTTATTATATGAAATGTTAAAGGGACTTACCTAAGAAAAAGAAGTTAAAAAAACATGAACAGTGAAAGGACAGCAAACTCATAGTTATCAACAACCACACCTAAAACAAAAGCAAACTGAAAGGATAGCTAGATCAGGAGTGGAAACATAGAAATGAAGATCTCAAGGAGGGTTAGCAACAGGGGAGTGGGAGGAGGAGAAGGGGGGGAGAAGGTAGAGAAAATAAGTAGCATAGACAGTAGATAGAAAATAGATGGGGGGGCAAGAATAGCATGGGAAATATAGAATCTAAAGGACTTGAGACACATGGTCATAAACTAAAGGGGGGGTAATGGTGGGGACGGGGTGTAGGGTGGAGAGGAATGAAGGGGGGAATAGAAAAACTGTAATGGCATAATCAATAAAAAATAAATTATTTAAAAAATATTGTAGAAATGAAGGAATCCATTGGAATTGGGAAACTTTTCTTTGAGAGAATGATGCAAACTTCTTGAGAGAGTTATTATATTTTTAAGTTTCATTTTGCAATGAGAAGTCTACTGTAAGACTTCCAGCCAAGATGGAGGTGTAGGTAGACACACTGTGCATCCTTGAGCAACCAAAAGAAGGACAACAGCAATTTAAAAACAAAAAATAACCAGAACTGACAGAAAATTGAACTGTATGGAAGGGAAGTCCATCAAACATGTAGTTAAAGAAGACAGATTCATCCAGGCCAGTAGGAGGGGTGGAGACAGGCATCTGGGTGGAGAGGACTTGGGGCAAGGCATTGGCTGGAGGACCCAGTGAGGTGGCGGATTGTGGAGTGGGGTGCAGAAGGCTTCAGCTGGCCAGCAAGGCAGCAGCCAGTGGACCAGGTGAGTGAGGGGTCCCACATTCCCCAGTGAATAAACTGGGAGGAAACCTGGGGAGCAGGACTGCTCAACCCAGGGCCCCAGCAGATAAATAAAGCCTCAAACCACTGGTTGAAAACACCTGTGGGAGTTGTGACAGTGGTGGGAGGATCTCCAGGTCTCACAGGAGAGTTTGTTGGAGAGACCCGCAGGGTCCTAGTATGTACACAAAACCACCCACATGAGAATCAGCACCAGAAGGGCCCACTTTACTTGTGGGCATCGGGGGAAGCGACTGAAATTCAGCAGAGAGTGGAGCAAGCACTGTTGTTCCCTCTTGGATTCCTCCCCCACAAACAGTGTCACAACTCAGACAATGGGTTGCCCCACCCTGGTGAAAACCTTAGGCTCCACCCCTCACTACGTTACAGGCATGTCAAGACAAAAAAAATGGCCCAAATGAAAGAACAGATTAAAGGTCCAGAAAAAATACAACTAAATGATGAACAGATAGGCAACCTATCAGATGCACAGTTCGAAACACTGGTAATCAGGATGCTCACAGAATTGGTTGAATTTGGTCACAAATTAGATGAAACAATGAAGGCTATGCTAAGTGAAATAAAGTGAAATGTACAAGGAACCAATAGTGATGGGAAGGAAACTGGAACTCAAATCAATGAAGTGGACTGAAAGGAAGAAAGAGACATCCAACCAGAAAAGAATGAAGAAATAGGAATTCAAAAAAATGAGGAGAGGCTTAGGAACTTCCAGGGCATCTTTAAAATTCCAACATCCAAATTATAGGGGTACCAGAAGGGGAAGAGGAAGAGCAACAAGTGGAAAACTTATTTGACCAAATAATAAAGGAGAACTTCCCCAATCTGGCAAAGGAAATAGACTTCCAGGAAGTCCAGGAAGCTCAGAGAGTCCCAAAGAAGTTAGATCCAAGGCAGAAAATACCAAGGCACATCATCATTACATTAGCCAAGATTCAAATGAAGGAGAGAATCCTAGAAGCAGCAAGAGATAAGGACTTCCCATAAGACTGTCAGCTGATTTCTCAAAAGAAACTTTGCAGGCAAAAAGGGGCTGGAAAGAAGTATTCCAAGTCATGAAAGGCAAGGACCTACATCCAAGATTGCTCTATCCAGCAAAGCTTTCATTTAGAATGGAAGGGCAGATAAAACACTTCTCAGATAACATCAAGTTACAGGAAGGAGTTCATCATCACCAAGCCCTTATTATAGGAAATGTTAAAGGGACTTATCTAAGAAAAAGAAGATAAAAAATATGAACAGTAAAACTCACAATCATTAACAACCACACCTAAAACAAAAGCAAACTAAGCAAATAACTAGAATAGGAACAGAACCACAGAAATGGGGATCACATGGAGGGTTATCAACAGGGGAGTGGGAGGGGAGAGAGGAGGGAAAGGTACAGAGAATAAATAGCATAGACAGTAGGTAGAAAACAGTGTGGGGGCAACTTTCTTTGCAAGTTCCCCCAGCCCCCATGGATAAGAGTAAACATGACTGAGACATAATGTGATCTGCTTGGGGAGGAGAGATGGCCATTTTCCCAGAGGAAAAAGGCCTTTAGCAGTGGCCAGTTTCTCAGGGGAAAAAGGAGTTGAGCCCCTTCCTCTAAGGGCTTTTACTGAGGAATACAGGGTGGCAAGGATCAAACAGTAGATAACATTTCAATTAAATCTGAGGGCTTAGTGTGAGTCAGAGTCTGTCAGGAACAGAGTTTTAGAGTTTCCTGCTGGAACCCTTAACATATGAATGAAAGCACTCTTAGCAGAGTAGACTTCACAGGTTTATCAGGAAGTCGTTGTGATGGCAGACTCCCCCAGCCCCATGCTCTAGCAAAGCAAGGAGTTGCACCCTTTCCCAACAGGTATTCAGGCTTAAGGGGATTAGAGCCAGGAAATACTTCCAGCTTTGTCAAAGCCTGGGGTGGGGGGGTGGGGCGTAGTGAGAGTCCATTGCTCCCTCTTTGCTGCAGCCCCCTGAGTCCTTCCATGATGGCCTCCCACGCGATCGAGTCTGGCTTAGGTTGCCCCTGCTCTGAGGGGGTCTCACCCGTCATTGGCTTCTGACCAAGCTGTGGGGGCAGGGAGAGGAAACTGAGGCAGCATTTGCTACCATACACAAGCTTTGTCTCCTGTGGCTGGCATTCTAATGGTCGTCACTCACCCTTAGCCACATGGGGTTGAGTTACAATTCCTAGAACCTAGAACTGGGCATAGCGGTCCACAACACAATAGACAGGGGAGGGCAAGAATAGTGCGGGAAATGTAGAAGCCAAGAACTTACATGTATGACCCATGGACATGAACTAAAGGGGGGGGATGTGGGTGGGGGGGTGTGCAGGGCAGAGGGAGTGAAGGGGGGAAAATGGGACAATTGGAATAGTATAATCAATAAAATATATATTAAAACATAAAAAGTCTACTGTAACTGTTGTCTTTGTTTCTCTGTATGTGATGTTTCTTTATTCTTGGGAACTTTGTAGAATTTCTTCGTCTTTGGTGTTCACTGCCCAGACTGGCGGTTCTCAATCAGTGAGCCACGGGATTTTGTAAAACTCACAATTCCGACTTCTTAGTCAGGGACACTGACCTCTTTCCCCTAGACTGTCAAATTTAAAAATGACAACAGCCAACATAACAATTGCCGTCTAGTGTGAATGAATCAACATTATACCTATTTTTTTGTCAAACTGGCAAAACTGTATTTTTTCGGTGTACCACAGAATTTTAGTAATTAGTTTATGTGCAACATGAGATGAAAAAAGTTGAAAAGCGCTGACTTAGACTATGATGTGCTTAGGTATTTCATTCCCTTTTCTCCCTGTTTACCACACGTAAGCCTCTCTGAGAGTGCTTATATCTGTGGTTTGATGTCTTGCATTATTTTGGGGAAGTTCTAGGTTATTATCATTTCAAATATTTCTTTACAGGGGTAGGGAAGGAGAGAGGGATAGAAATATCAATGTATGGTTGCCTCTTGTGTGTCCCCTGCTGGGAACTGGCCTGCAACCCAGGCATGTGCCCTGACTGGGAATTGAACCGTGGTTGCTTGGTTCCTAGGCCTTCACTCAATCCACTGAGCTCTACCAGCCAGGGCTCATTTCAAATATTTCTTATATTTCATTCTTTCTTTTTCTTCTGAGATTCCAAGTATACGTATGTTAGACCATTTGACATGGTTCCATAGCTACAGCTCTTAGAAACGCTGGTCCTCAGCACTATCCCAGCGTAAGTCGGGCGGGCAGACCCTGCCCTCTGAAGGCAGGGCCAGTGGGAGTCCCTGCGTCTCTGCAGGAGTCTGACTCCAGGCAGAGGAAGGAGAGGCTGAGGCAGGGGGTTGGCGGGGGGGGGGGGGGGGGGGGGGCAGCCTGCTGGGTGGGTCACTCAGCTCCGGGGGGAG